CTATAGATGTTACAGCTAGTTTGTGAGGTCGTGATGTGGAATTGAAAAGTTACGATTTCCATAGCTTTTTATTTGTATTTTATTTTTTAAAAAATTTCATTGTTAATAACATTTCAGTGAATCTCTTATGATAATATATTGCGAAGTAGTAAGGCAATTACTAATGGAGGATGGACTATATCCAGCTATAAAGGCTGAGGACCAATATGAGTTCAGTGTTAGTGACACAGGAATTGTACTTAAAATATCCGCATCTAAGCCGCCAGTAGGTATCCGTTGAAAACATGCATCAAAGTTACAAATATAATTTTGATATACTTTATTTTTTCTTCACTTATATTGTAAATTTATTTATATTGCAGTTATTGTTATCAACTATAACTCAATACATGAAGACCTGTTCATATCGTGTTACGAAGCAAATGTTTAAATTGGTCAAAAAGCAACAATTTGATATCTATAGCAAAAAAATCAATAAACCTGAAAAACTGGCTGAGTACTGGCTATTTGTTGTCAAATAATTGCAACAATATTATAAAATTCAAATAATGAATTTTTAAAAATACATTATCATACCCTTTTTGTCAATTAGACACTAATAATAATTTATCTTTATATTATTTTTTACAGAGATTTAACATTACGCAGAGTTAAGGTAGTCCATCATACATACATCGATATACGAGAAGCTCTAAAAAATATTAGTTTTAAAGAATTTCAAAAATTTGCAAAAAAATTTTTCGATTGTCTGCACATTAAGTGTCTCGCTCAAGGTAATATCACGGAGGATGCTGTGAAAGAGGCTATACGACATTGTATTGTGACCTTCAGTTATAAACCTTTACCTTTAAACATGAGGGAACTGATTAGAGTCTATCGTTTACCTCACGGTAAAAATGATTACACGGTTAAAAATGAAGACAGATTTGATCCACATTCTGTTGTGATGAATACTTATCAAGTTGATTTGAGATCGGTTGAATTATCAACGTTAATGAGCCTAATGTTGGTAAATATTAAGTAACATGTCTTTGTATAAAATTTTATGTGTTTATTTAATTATTTTTTAAATATAACTATTACTTAGTAATTTTAATATAATAACTGTACCGATTATTGAGATCTTTAATTTTATCTTCAAGTTATATTCATTCGCACATGTTTTTAGATAATAATGGAAAAACAATTGTTGCTGAAACGGCTATCTGATGACCAAATACAATATGCTTCATGCAACTCTGCGGATGTTAATGGAATTTTACATTATTCAATTATCATTTACACACAAAGATGCAAAACTGCGCATGTTCAACAGTGGATCAATGAATTTCTGAAATGGTTTAAAATATTTTTAGATGAATTCTCAGATAATGATTTAGATAATATTAAAGAAAGAATAAGATTGGTTAAGCAACATGCTGATATGAATCTTGCAGAAGAAGTTGACAGAAACTGGAATGAGATTATGAAGTATCGATATATGTTTGACAGACCTGAAAAAGAAATACTTGCACTAAACAGAATAAAAATAAATGATCTACGAGAATGGTTTAGAACGTATATGCTAGACAAACAGATAAGTAACACAAAATTATGTATACAAGTTGTAGGATCTCACGAATTTACAACCCTTTACACAAATGTGCAACCCTTTGATTTAAAATACGAGGGTCGTTCAATAAGTCGTTAGAAAGGGGGCGTCAAGAGAAGGCGCTCGTAGTATCGAAAATGAATTTTTTCCAGTAAGCAGCACTCCTAACTAGTCAGCTGTTAGAGTTTCAGCCATATCCATAGTAGTTCCATATCATATCATATAGTAGTTTCATTTTTGTTGTCGATTGAAGTAAAAGATTTGACAATGCACGGGTGCACACCTGCGCAGTTGCGATGGCCAAAATTATGGAATTAAAGTTCCAATTATTACAACATCCACCGTATTCACCAAATTTGGTCCCCAGTGACTTTTTCTTATTTCCAAACTTGAAGAAATGGCTTGGCGGACAACGGTTTACGTCTAACGAGAAGGTCATCGCCTAAACAAATGCCTATTTTGAGGAGCTTTCGAAATCCTACTTTTTGAATGACTTAAAAAATTTGGAAAAACGCTTAGAAAAAATGTATAGAGCTGGAACGAGATTATGTTGAAAAATAAAAAAAAAAAATCTACTCAAAAAAAATTTTTTTCTACTTTTTTCTAAGGACTTATTAAATGACCTCGTACATATAACCAATGGTCAATATAGAAAAGTTATTTTCAAAATTTTTCATGTTGTGGAATTAAAACAATACAAAAAATATTGTTCTTATTCACTGAGTGATCAATTTAAAGATCAAAGTAAGTGATACTTTTACAAAATTGTAATTTGGGATAAGAGACTTGTAGTGTTTCTCAGTGTTTGAACATGGCCGGAGACACTACCGCATCTCCTGATATGTTAATTAACAAAAATGAAATTAAAATTTGTATTACTTTTGTAAGGTCTGAGCCGAGAAAAATTGTTAGCGTTCCAACGCGAAGTCGGAACTCGATCTAAAGAAGAAGCTATCTTCTTTCATGATGGCTCTCGGGGGGCCTGAATTCATCTCGGTCCCCACCTCATCGGTCAACGGCAGTTTCGCCTACCTTAACTCGGGTCGGGGAAGGCGCCCCCCGATCCGCCGTCGGGTTAGGTCGACCTTGACCAGACCTCCGGGCGGCGGTGAATCCGACACTCCCTGGGGGTGGTTACCCCGAGGGTCTTTGGAAGATTTCTTCTTCGAGAACAAAAAAAAAGTATTCAAATCTTTTTACAACCGTACAATTGATAAACAATAAACAAACAGAAGGAAGCCAATAACGGTCAAAAAAAAAAGGTGCCCCCCGAGAGCCATCATGAAAGAAGATAGCCTCGGTTTTTTGGGGTACCACCTCCAACCCTAGTCCCTCCATCGAGCGCAGCACCCCAGTCACCGCGAGCTCATTCTTCTTCTTCTTCTTAATTTAGTTGGCCCAGGTTCCGTTATGAAATCGGATTAACGTGGCCAGTCATACCCAAAAAGATATATATGTGAGTCAACGCACAGTCAAAGTCGGCAACACTTTCAAAAATTGCTGATGCAATGACCGCGAGAATGGCGTTGCTCGACCGGTCTCCGGGCGCCTGCGTCTACGGCGTCGTCACGCCGTAATAACGCGCGTCATGAGAGCCCAGGTCTCAATCGAGACGAGCTCAACCGCGGACACGCATCTGTATGATACAATGCACAGTCAAAGTCGGCAACACTTTCAAAAATATACAATGAAGAGCATCCGAACCGAAACGCGTCCGTAACGGTCGGATGGTTCGTCGGAACTCGCGAGCTCATTGCAATGTCTTATTGCAATCGACGGCTTACCACGAGAAAGACATCACTTCCGACTGACGATGAGCAGAGTATCTCATAGGAAGCGAAGAATACTTCGCCACATGGGTTCGCCGGTAAACTGCGACGAAAATTGCGTCAATCGACGTGCTGCCGTCGCGCAGTATACGGGTAGGAGACGTCGTGGAAATCGTCGCCTGACCACAGACTTCTATATAGAAGTCTGTGCGTCTGACTCTGCCCCGAATCCGCGTCCGATTATTCTAGTACGGAATTCGCGATCGCGAAAAAATATAGGTAATAGTAGGAATAGAAGATAACAGCTGATTAGCCGCGTGAACCGAGTCAGTAGGAAAAAAAGCACGAGGCGGGTCTTTAAACAGCCCGTCACTCGCGCCGAATCACTCATACCACGGCTACACGCGCACACACACAAACACGAACACAGATTGTACACGCGCTTCTCGCGTTCCTACGAAGCCGTCGCAATTGTATGATACACCCATTAAGTCCTGAATGTCTTCAATTCTGAACTCATTTTCATCCAGTTTCTTTTCATATTATTTATGCCAAAAAAAAAATCGAACCCATGATACTCGACGTAAAATTTCATGTTCTTTCAGAATATGACCTCAGAATTTACCTAACACCATTTTTTTGACTAAATAAAATTTTAGATCTAAAATCTGGTGTTGTCGTTTCTCCAAACGCGATAACGACCGTCTTTGTCAGTGGAAAAAGCTTTCTCATCCATCCATATGACTTTCTGCCACTCTTCATCCGTGATGTCTAAATGATTCATGGCGAAGTTCATTCGTTGATCCCTATGTCGAGGTGTCAGAAGTGGTTTCTTCGCAGCTTTCCGACATTTTACTCCTGCAGCACGAAGTCGCATTTGAGCTATCCGTCCTGATACATTTAATCCAAGTACTAAAGGTATTTTATTGGAGGGTTGAAAAGGATTTGCTTTCATTTCCTGTATAATCGCTTCATCTTCAGCCGGAGCTCCGGAGTGGAATGTCTTGGGCGCATGTTAAAATGTTATCACGGCATCATTCTGGGCATGGATGTCGAGGTGGTCACTTTTCATTTTGTGAAAATTTCCGAGGGACAGAATTTACCGTGGGTGTACATAACATCGTTCCGCATACATTTACTTGTACAGAGACTCATTATACAGATCTGTTAGCTTTTAATTAGTTTTATTTAATAGAGAATAATTATACCACAAACTGGAAATCTTTATTAGACGCACAGAAGTGAATTTAAGGAGAGATCGAGAACAATAGACTGATGAAAAGTAAATGAACATTGAAAAATATCTTATATAATACCATCTAACGGATAACTTAGCATACTATTTCATATCAACCTTAAAACTATAACACACACATACAATTGACTCGATCTGCTTCGACATACAAATTATCTTCAAGATCAAATAAAGATGATTTTTTCTTTAATAAAGGTACAATTTCATGCAGCGAAGCTTCGCTGGCGATGACCCTCACTCCGCCGATTCCACATAGCTAGCGAAGAAACATTGTTGAATTATGAGCAAAGCAACGCTGCAAACCACAAATGAGAAATACTACATACAACCTATTTTTTTTGCTGTAAATTCACGTAACGAGTCAGTCAACTTAGAAACAAAGAAGATGAAAATAGAAGAACAGCTAATCGATGAAGTCTTTAAACGACCTGCATTGTGGAACTTCAAACTATCTATAACTGAATGCAGCCCACAAATAAAGAAACAACTCTGGGAAGAAGTGTATGAAGCTATGAACGGTAATAATGTTGTTGCTATTGTTATAGTATAAAGTTTTTCTATAAATATTATTTTATGTTACAAAAAAATACTGATTTATCAAATTATGTATTTCCATCTTTTTTTAGGAACATTCCCTTCCGTGGAAGCGATAAAAAAGAAGTGGAAGTAGCGAAACACTATCAGTTTCGAGTGCATTCAAAAAAGAATCAACAACCGAGTGGATCTGCAGCAAGTGGAAAAAAATCGTGAATACATCTACAACGTATGCAGTTTTTGAATGATATGTGGCTAAAAAACAGGTATAATAATAATAATAATAATAATAATGATAATAATTTTTGTATACAAATGTATAATATATAGTATAATAATTAATTTTCTTTTCATGATAGAACTGTCAGTAATATCAAGACTCTATCAAAATTTGATGATACACAATCAAATTCATTAGAATTGAATGTTTTTCACGATGACAGCAATAGCTGTAACAGTAGCAACAACAGTCATAATACATCACGTATGTTGAAGAGTTTATTTGCATGTCAAAACAAACCATTTTATAAATAATACATAAGAATTACGAATTCATATATTGAAAAATGTATTTAGCTCCATCGGTGGAACATTTCATTGGTTAAAGCGGAATCGAATTGCACATAGAAAATTCAAAATAGAAAATTTATGTAATTTTGTTTGTATAAAATAGTAATGACTATTTTTTACTTTCCTGGTTCAATGGAGATAAATACATTTTTCAACATATAAATTCTTATGTTGTAAACATAAGTTACAGAATGTGAATATTTTTTACAGATAGCAATAAACGCCACATGACTGCAGACAATCCCTTGGATCGGATTGCCAATTCTTTGGAGAGTTCATTGCTTTTTAATATGGGGCAAATAGAGCAAATAGAGCAAATTTTTCATCGTCTTTCACAAAATATTCCACCAACTATATATGATAAACCTGCGTCAATGGCACATTTGTTAATAACTCGGAAAAAGAACGTAGTGACCTGCTCTTAAAAAATATTGATGAGTTTCTCAGTATCCACTTATAGAAATAACGTCGAAACTTTTACAGAATAATTATTACAACATTTGAAGTACGAAAAGCATTATATTTGAACCGTATTTTCAAAAGCTCCATAACGAAGTGAATATACAATATTATGTAGAAATGCCTTTTTATTCTGTGATTCTCAATTCTGCCAATCGATATCCAGGTTAAATGCGAATATTTAAATCAATCATTATATCGAAACAGTATTACATTTTGTACTTGCGCTTTGTGAACCAAATGATAGACAACATATTTGGGACACTTGAATATATCCTCGTATCCTTTTCATGCAGCGAAGCTCGCTGGCGAAGCTATCCCACAGACTTCTATATATTAAGAAAGAAATATATAGAAGTCTGTGAGCTATCCCCACTACTGTGCTGCGAATAAAGAAGCGTTGAAAACGACTGTAGACGCAGGCACCAAAAATTGCTTTTCCGTTTAGGAAATTAAACGTAATTTTCTAAATACAAATATCGTATTCGTAAGAAATTGATGTTATATTATATTTAAATTCCAAACACTCAATATATATATATAGACTGTTTGAAATTTAAATGTCAAAACTTCAGAAATGTGTAGGGAAAATATAGTAAAATGGTTACATTTACTTGTTAATTTATTTCAGATATAATATAAAGAACTACTAATGTGATTATTACTATTTATTTATTTCATCGTGAACATTTATTATTATTTTTTATATTTATTCTATATTTATTGTATCTATTCTATATAGGGTATCGGAGGTAGATGAAAATACAGTGCTACAAAGTCAAGCGTATCTCTTATTTTACGAGAGGATTCTCTGATTCGATAAAACAATGCAGAACGTGAATGAATATTCGCGTTATGTTCGCATTTCCGATTTTCGAAAGAAAGGAAACAGACTTATGATGAATTTATTAATTATGCAATTATTATAAGAATCACATCGCGCATTATCGGATGTATGATGTATGAAACTGATTATGTGTACACACATTGCAAGAAACCTGTAATCTATTTGTACTCTGAAATTACAAGCAATTATTTTTTACTGTTCTTATTTTTAAGAAACTACTCTTTTTCATAATATTATTTTAGTGCGGCTTTCATGACATTGTAATGTGTAATATTAAAACTACTGGTGAAAGAACTGTATCCAGTTTTACAAGCTGGATACAACTATAATGTCAGTTTTATAGTAAGACAGGAATTATAATTAAAATATCCGGACTCATATGTTGCAAATAAGTATACGTTTAAATTATATTTAATGCTCAAAATATGTGTCAAAGACATAAATACAATTACGAAATATAAATTATATTTATTATATATCTATTGCAACTTCTTTCTGGAGATATCAATACTCTAATATTGTGTCTATGCGTGTGGAAAATAGAGTTTATACGAGATATAAAAATAGGGTTTTAATGTTCTTAAAAATATAAGAAATTTAAATATATTTGCTATTTGGTATACTTTTTTTATTATAACAAGAAAAAGAAATTCTCAATTTTCTAAACCACTATAAAGGTAATACAAATAAATAAACATACTCATGACCTTTGCTTATAACATACATAAGTTACCAGCCGTATTAACCTTCATTTGAAGGCAGGTGCCATAATGAAAGGAGAAAGTGTAAGATGAGAATGTTGATTAAAACTGTACCAATTGTTTCCTGGAATCAAAGTAAAATACGATCAAATTAATTACTTATTGGGAGATCTTCGATCGCATCATATTGTACCTTCTGACTTAATTTCTATATTGATTTCCTCGAGCCTTGGTATAATGGAAGAGGAGAAGCGCACGACTGGAGATGATAAATGTTATGTAGTGGAATATCTGGAGACACCTGTCAAATTAAAGGATGACAAAAAGGAATATAGGTAAGATGAAAAAAAATATCGATCAACAATCCTAATAATCTTTAAAAAGAGAAACGTTAGAATACATTTTTTTATTGATAAATAGAAAGATTAAATTTTTTGTCAATAATTTGGAACATATGCAACATTCTCACTGTCTTCCTATTTGATTATTGTTTGCTTTGTCTTTTAAATTTAGAGCCATTAGATTACCAAACGGTTTAGAAGCTTTGCTAATATGCGATTCAGAGACATGCTCTTCTCAAGATCAAAATAAGAAAGATAAGAAAAAGGTAACAAAACAAAATAATTTATATATCGCGCGGCAAATTTTTTTACTTATTCTATCGTTAAGAATTCATCACAAAATAATTATAATATTAAAAACAGACCTGTAAAGTATCAAAAAATAATTATCTTCTCAATGTACAACTGTATTATCAAAAGTTTTGATTAAAAAATTTGGTCTCTTTCACTGTAGACGAGTTTTCACAAATCGATTTCGAAATGTGATTCAATTTCAAACTCTTTACGAAACGTTTCGTCGAATTTGTTCATTTCTTTATTTAATACTGCATGTAATGCGCATGATATGTATCTATATATACATATATTTTTTTAAACAGGCAGCATGTGGCTTATGTGTTGGGGTAGGAAGTTTCAGTGATCCACCAGAAGTTCCAGCAATAGCACAATACTTCGAAAGCATGCTTTTCACTGGATTTGATAAATATCCACCGGTACTAAAATATAATATATATGTGTGTGTAAATTTACTGTTTAATTTATCTTATATATTTAAATATTCATGTATTATCTTACTTGTAGAAATATGATTTGGATAAATTTATCTATAATCATGGTGGCATGTGTGATTGCTTAATCGATTTTGAACATACAACATTTTTCTTTGACATTCAAGAGGAAAACTTCTTTTCGGCTCTCGTCCGTTTTGCTAAATTTTTTAGTGACCCTTCGCCTGAAACGCATGAATATGCGCGACAGCTAAAAGCCATAAAAAACGGTAGGTTATAAAAAATAAGTACGTTATAATGAAATAATAGGACTGTTTTGCAACATGTAATCTTGATATACATCATGTTTGTAGAATTTCAGGTAGCGTTATTTTGTACCAAGAATATACGAGAACTCCTATTTTCTTCTTTCGCACGAACTGGACATCCAGCCAACAAATTTACTGGAGACGATTTAAAACAATTGATCTGTAATGTAAATTACAATAAAGTGTGCAAAGAGTTGTACAAATTCAAAAAACGTCATTACAGCGCTCACAGGATGAAACTGGTTTTACAAGTAGCTTTATTAAAATTGCTAAGAAAATAACTAATTATTATATATACGTATAATATAACTATTTATATATTTAATTTTATTTCAAAAATAAGATTAATTATAATATGATGTATATTTTTATAGTCAAGATTACCACTGGATACATTAGAAAGGTATGTCATAACGTACTTTCGTGATGTACCAACTAACAGGTTGCCTCCAGATGACTTTACCAAATTTAAAAACATTATTCCTTTTGATACTCCCATTTTCCGAAAAATATATAAAGTTGAAGCTACGAAATTTTTTAGACGAGTACGTGACTAAAATTTGACCAAAATAAAAAAAGAGAATTTATATTTACTACATGAATATATAAATAATTATATAAAATAAAAATTGTCTTTTGTAGTTAGAAATAACATGGGCAATGCCTTCACTACTTGTTCACAAAACTAAACCATATGAATATATCTCACGGATTATTGAGCAAGAAGGAAGAGGTTCTTTAATTAGTTATTTACGCAAAAAAATGTGGATCTGTACATTTTCTAAATGTGCACTTTATTGTAAGAGTCAACATAACTCCATGTATAGCTTAGTACAACTTGTTGTAGAACTCTCCCATGAAGGATTTCAACATATGAACAAGATTTTAGATGCAATATTTTCCTTTATCAATTTACTAAAGAGAGAAGGTGCAAGGGAAAATATTTTCGACGAGTTTTGCGAAATTGAAAAAAATTCATTTAGGTAATCTAATTTTAGAAACAAATAGATAAATAAAGAAACAATTGTTGAAAGAAAAACCTCAACAAAATGCTCGTAAAATGTCATTTATATTTAAAATTTTTAGATTTATCAATGAGAGAGAAAATCGAGTGAATTATGTAAAAAATTTGTGCAAGAGTATGCATTTTTATTCGTCATGCAATTATATAGCTGGAAATAATTCATTCATTCATTTCAAATATGATCCAGAAGCTATACAAAAGTGTTTAAATTATTTAGTACCAGAGACCGCAAATTTTATGATTTTCGACAAGGATTTTGATTGTTTCGAAATAAGTAATGTCGAACCATTGTTTGAAATAAAGTACATAGACAATGAAATACCAAAGAAATGGATCGAACATTGGAAAATCATCGAGCCATTGCCAGACTTTCATTTATCATTACCAAATATATTTCTTCCCAGCGATTTCTCTTTAATACCAATACCAGAAAAAGTTCCAGAATATCCTGTAAAATTACACAATGACGATATATCGGAAATTTGGTATCGTTTGAATCCCAAGTCACGTTTGCCGAATAGTTATATGAATATATATTTTATTTCTTCTCTAGGATTTCAATCACCAAACAAGTAAGTAGCTATGACGAATAATGTAACTTAAAAAATTATATCATAAAAATGAAAAAGTCAAGCCACGTTTCAAAAAAAGATCATGTCTCAAAAATTTAGATCTTTTTACCTAATAATAATATATTACCATGAAAAGTAACTAATACATTATTAATTAAAAAGGTGCCAGTTCAAAGTGAACATACATAAAGTATATGCAACTTTCGGCCGATTTTCGAATCGCTGTCCCCCTCATCTCACCGCCCCGCTCGCAGATCAAATGCCGCACGATGGTTGAGTGGCATTTGGTCTGCGCGCGGGGCGGTGAGGTGAGGTGAGGACGGATAGAGAAGGAGACACGTTACCGAGGGCATAACCACCATCTGAAATATTGTCCCACAGATTACATGATTTCATTTAATTTTATATAATTTTATTTGATGACAAATAATTTTTCCTCACTATATATGCGGTCAGTTCGTAAAATAAACGATTTTATGTAATATTACACAATTATTTCCTGTAATTGTCGGATTATATATCGAAATTTTATATAAATTTTATAATGATTTCAGGGACTCCGTCCCACGATTACATTAAGTGATTACCCCCTCGCATGTTACTTTATTTTTCATGAAAATCATCACTTTTCGATCGCTTGTATGTCCAGAACGGCTTAACCGATTTAAAATTTTTTAGCTCAAATTATTCGTGGCGATGCCACCTTTAGGACATTATATGCGATTCAAAATTTTATTTTAGTAGTTATGCACCCCCCAAAAATGGGCTTTGGTGACTCGGGATAAGAGACTTGTAGTGTCTATTATTAATCTTTTAAATTAACTAGTAGTTTATTGAACATGGCCGGAGATAATACCGTGTTTCCTGATGATACACGCATTTTGTAGTATTACTGATATAGATTAATTTCTAAGTTAAAGTTATCCATACAATTTTTATATAATTGCATCTTATTTGAAAAAAAAGACCATTCTTTCACATTAATGACATTTCAGTGCAGCTCTCATGACACTGTACTATAAAATATTAAAACTACTATTGCTAGAAGAACTATATTCAGCTACACAGGCTGGATACAACTATAAGATAAATGTTAGTAAAAAAGGTATTATAATAAAAATGTCTGGATTCAACGAAAAATTGTCAGTAAGTAATGCATTCAAAGTATATGTTGGAATTATAAATATAACATTGAAATGCATTATTTGTATATATTACAGCTCTTGTTAGAAACTATTGTAAAATGCATGGTGGACTGTCCAAACCGAGTAACAGAAGATACATTTAAAATGATCAAAACAGAACAACTTAGCATCTATTACAATACATTCACTAAATCCAAGGAATTTGCCGAGTATTAACTATATATTTACTTACTATTAAACATAATTAAAACAATATTATAAAATTTTTACATAACAGAAAGAAATAATTAATAATACATATATTGAATAAACAACGTTTTCATAAAATAAATTATATATCAAATTACATTTTTCTACGAATTAATCAATAATGTACATCTCTAACCTTTTTTACAGGGACATAAGATTATGGATATTGAAGCACGTCCATTATACACACGTTGATATGCACAATGCTCTAATTAATATCAATTTTGAAGACTTACAACAGTTTGTGAAATCTTTTACCAATAATCTGTACATTCAGTGCCTTGTGGAAGGCAACATGATGCAAAATGCTGTAATCGAGACTATAAAACAATGTGTTAAATTAATTAATTGCAGTCCTTTACAATATGATATAATAAAAAAGAGTACAGCTGCTCAGATACCGTTAGGTACAAGCTATTGCAAGATAAAAAATATTAATAAATCAGACGCAAATTCCGTAGTGATGAAATATTATCAAGCTGATTACATGTCGATTGAATTATCGATGATAATCAACCTAATAATTGTAAATATTAAATAATATCTATATATTTTGTTTAAAATTTAATAACTAAATAAGATTTAGTTACTAAATATATATTTTATTTATTTTGAATGCATAAAACCTATGGTATATATTTTCTTATTTTTAAAAGAAGAAAATATATACCATAGGTATATTTTTATGATTGATTTTATTTAAATATACTTTCAGATGATAATGAAAAAACAATTATTAAAATGGCAATCCCAAGAAAAATTACGTCATGTTTTATGCGATTTTAAAAATGTTGATGGAATTGCAGGATATTGTATTACTGTTTATAACATTCAAAAAAATAAATATACAACTGAGCATGTTGATCAGCAGATCGATAAATTTCTGAAATCATTTAAATATTTTTTGGAAAACTTATCAGAAGAAGAATTGAATAATATCAAGGATACATGGAGTAAATCTAAACAGCATACGGATATCAACATTGAAGAAGAGGAAGAGGTTAACAGAAACTGGGATGAGATCACGACATGTCAATACATGTTTGACAGATTTCAAAAGGAAAAACTTGCACTAGAGGAAATAAAAATGAACAAACTGCGAGAATGGTTTGCAAAAAACACGAATGAAAGTAATTTCAGAACACTAAGCATACACATCGTAGGAATTGATCCTAAGAATCGGCAGTATTTGACTTTGGATTGTTTGGACACAACCGACGATCAGCAGTATAAGCAAATTAATCATATTATTAAAGTAGACGATTACAAGAAAAAATTCAACACTTATCCAGTAATTGAGGGATAATCGACTAAGGTGTCTAAATAAGTGACATTTTAACAGTAATAATTTAACGACAGCAAAAAAAATTATTAATTGTTCTGCGGTAGAATAATAATTTTTCTTTATTTATTTTAATTTATATATATTTAATTTATTTAAATTTAATACT